CACAGAGACACACACACACACACACACACAGAGAGAGAGAGAGAGAGTGAGAGAGATCTAGAGAGAGAGAGTAAAATAGAAAGAACACAAGAATAATTCTTAACAACAAACTTTTAAGTAACTCTGCAAGGGAACTGCTATAGCCAATAATTTTCGACCTGTTGTATTTATCTTAATATTTTCATTTCTTACTTGGAGCATATCCTACGGAAAAGACAGTTTAGTAATTTTGTAGTGAATACCTTTAATTAATCAAAGATCTGAAGTACATTTCCTTTTGTGAAAATCACAAAACGCAATTTAAGAGGATCGTGTGCAAATGGCGTGTAGGGATTTGTAGTAGAATACGTGATCCCGTTTTCCCTGGGGAGTTTTTTACACCGCGTTTGATGTACAGATGTCACAGGTCACTTTGTAAACACACAACAAAGCCGCCGGGGGGCCTCCGGTCGTTTGTCTCCGATACAGCTGGACAAAGGACCACAGGGTGAACAAATAAACCTGAATGTTCGCTGTGCTGAAGTGTGGCGTTAAATTAGAAGTGGGACTGTGAGAAAAAAGTGTAGTTTCCTTCCCCAAACCTCATCGTAAGAAAAGGAACGGTACAAAATTTAAGGAAAAAGAAAGGATAAGTTGACACAAAGGTGGGATTGTTTTGGGTCCATTCCGCATTAAAACTGAACTACTGAAGTGTGGACAAGCATAAATATTGTTAACTTATAAGTTGGACTTTTAGAAAAAAGCGTAGTTTTCTTCCCCAAACCTCATCGTAAATAGTCAGAAAAGAAAAGGTACAAAATTTAAGAAAGGATAAGTTGACACTTGGATGTCGTTGCCTGTAAATGTAGGATTTTTTTTGCAATTCCGCGTTAAAATTAAACTACTGAAGTGTGGACAAGCATAAATATTGTTAACTTCTAAGTTGGACTATGAGAAAAAGCGTAGTTTCCTTCCTTAGACGTCATCGTAAGTAGTTACAAAAGAATCAGTACCGAATTTAAGTTAGAAACTGCGGGGGTAAGTTGACACTTATTTGATGTCATGGCCTGTAACTGTAGAAGAGGATTGTTTGTGGTTCCTTCTGTGTTAAAATTGAACTACTGAAGTGTGGACAAGCACAAATATTTTGGTAGATGTTCACCTAAACCAACAGACTGTGAATAGAGGTTTTGAATTGGGTGGTGTATATATTTTTTTCCAAGCCTTTGGTTTACTTTGGTGCACCTGTTTAGATGAGATAATGCTTAGATAAAGACAAATTTATTTATTATTATTAATTATCGTCATTTTATCATTAGCTAGAATGTGTTACCCAAGGCACGAACTATACTGTACAGTACTAGCTACTATAAACTCTATATGATTTTGCCTGGGTAAAAGGCCTGTAAGTATTTTACTTATGGATAACATTACGTGGCTTTATAATATTTTTTGTACAGTTCCTGCACCAACCTTGGATCCACAGTTTTTAGAAAATGATGTTACATAGAAAAATTATTTAAAAGTTTGAAAGCTAGAACACTTACCCAAAGACATTAGATCATGTTTTTACATGTATAACTGTTGACGACTGAGAATAAATGTAATATTTTTTTACTACTCAAAACAAGGCAAAGAAGACAATCGAGCTATGATTGGATATTTTTCTAAAAAGTAACAATGTATATCAGTTTAGCATCCGGCCTGGTTTCTTTTGGTTTGCTCTTGCAATATTTCAAACTGTAATATGAGAAATCTTATCCTTCTCAAAAACAGGTGCAAGAAGTAGCTAGTTCCTATGAAACTTCCCTGCCCAGTGGCAAAAATTCCTTTTCTCTGTGGTCAAGGGATTGAGTCACTGTTGCCATTTGTTGTAGACTGACCCTCGGTCGACTAATTCGGTCAAGCTGGACTCTGTCAAATCCAAACCAACAAGGTCATTAAAACATTCCCTGCATTTTTAACTCTAGGAATTTTCCATTTGAGAAATTTGAAAACACCCTTGTATTTATCTGTTATAAGACAGCTGCATTCTATAACTGATATGGAAGAAGATAGTTACTTTTATTACATTTCACATATACTGACCTAAATTTAGGGCATATACCGTAAATAATATAATTTTGCAACTTAGGCCTTCTAGGAAATAGAAGCATTTCAATATTTCAAGTTTACGAAATGATTAAGGTGTACAGTAATAATAGTATTAATAAACAAACACAGTTAAATGAGTTATTTTTTATTAGCGGTTGCAAAAATTAAAGTTTTTGCAACCATGTGCAAATATTAAAGAGTTTACAGTACTCATACTAGGATTGGTATAAATTGGGACAAGTCTGCTTCTGATTTTGCAAGTCTTCTGCCCCCCTCCCCCACTGTGTAAGAGACACATGCTGTATAAGAGATAATAAACTATCAAACCAGCTCTATTCCTTCTTGTTTGGTCTACCAGTATTGAATTAAAGTCACGCTGTGGGCCTGGGTGTAGCAGCTGCCTTATTTGTAATTGAGAGGACATAAAAGTCTAAAACTACATGTTAAGTGTCTGAAGTACTGTAAGTTGCGAAATTTATTTTGGAGCAACGGAAGGTTTTCGTGGTGTTTTAAATTCAAGGTTAAAACATTTCTCCATTTCAGTACTATAAGTTAAGTAATACAAGAAAGGTATTTTTAAAGTGATGAACTTTGGAGGGGCAAAAATTTGAAACTGACACAAAAGTTTCACAAAATGCTCTACAGAGCTATATATTATGCTACTGTCACACCATGTGCACGAGGTTTAGGAGTTCTAAAGGATTAAAGTGACCACTAAAGGGCCTTGAATGTACAGACACAAAAATAGTAAATAGTCTAAAAGATCTAGGACTCAGAGCTTTTAAATTCATTGTAAAACATTGATGTGCAAAAGTGTGTGTGTATTTCTAGCTCTGTAGCACATATAATTTTTGTAACGATCAAAACAAACATTTGCCAGATCTTGAAACTTAATGGTAATATATTGTCTTGACCTGTTTTTGTTGGCCACCCCTCTGTCTAAATAATTATCATAATCACTTTCCGTTTTTTATCTTAGGTCATCTCCTGTGTTTTGTCCTGATTATCCCTCAAATTACCCCTCTTTCCCCTGCAATCACCCTAATGCTAGTAATAGAGTACAGCGCAACACTCCGCTGCACAGGGGCCAGGTTTAACAAGTTTTTCAAGATTCCTGGCCGAAATCCGATAAACCACGGGGCAAACACCTTTCGGAAAAAACCTTTGGAAGAGACAATGAATTCTGGGAGCAACCTCGGTGGCGCTCTTTGAGTGTTTGCACGCGGATTTTTGGACTTAGTGACGCCATGGCTAAAGCTGTATTCTCAGTATACATGAGTAATAGGCTAATACAGAGGTCTATTTACTAGTAGGAATTTGTACCCGTCACAAGTTTGTGTCTTTCCCTTGTGAAAAATATTTTTAATAGCCATAATCTTTCAGTGTAAGTACTTATTTTCATTATCTTTAAGTTAGTACTTTATACTTGGTCTGACCCTCCAAAATTTCCTGTTTTAAGCATTGCTAGTACCCCCATGTAGACCCTCAAATTCAATTTTCACCAAAAAAAAATATTTTTGAGAGCCATTATTTCGGTCAGTGTAAATGCTATATTTTTTTTCATTATCTGAACACTTGGTCCTGACCCTCCAAAATTTCCTGTTTTAAGCATTGCCAGGACCCCCATGTAGACCCTCGAATTAAATATATTTTCAGTGGTGCCTTCATTACTACTAGTATCTGTATCTTTTCTGCACCCATCCATCCAGCTAGAAACATCTGCAAGTCAAGTAAGTAACCTGATACGTAACCAGATCACAGGTAAAGATTGGCAGCAGGTAAGAAAGTTGTTTTTAGGTCAGGTCTTGTCACTGATCTGGTTGAGTGAGCTCAAAGTTCTGTCACAGTTTTGTAAATCTTAAACCAGGGTCAAGGTAAGGAGTTCAGATTCTAGAAGGATTTCGGTTTGGATGTTTGTGGTACTCTCATCTGCCGAATAAATTAAACATACCCCCCGGAATAAACGTACCCCCCGGACAAATCTTCAAAATCAAATAAACATACCCCCGGAATAAACGTACCCCCCGGAAAATTACCAAAATTGACGGGTAACCTGTGTCTCTTGTACTAAAATGCACCCTTACTGATATATGCACAAATCTTTAACTGTTATTTGCAATTAGGAATTTAAATAGACAAAAAAAAGAGCATTTAATATTTTGTATTTTGATAAGCACCACCCATATCCATGACAATAGAACATTCAGACGAATTTATGCACGCGGTGATTGCAAAAACCGGCCCGAAAATGACAAGTTTCTCGCTACAATATGCGTTTATAAACGTCTTCACGTCGATGATTTGTCAATTTTTTTCACACAAAGTTGAAAAAAATTACTGGTTTTCAAAAATTAATAAACGTACTGTGCAAAATAAGAACGTACTGGGTGGATGTTTGGGCCCAAAAGAATAAACGTACCCGTATGTTTATTTGGCAGATGAGAGTAGCTATATACATACCATATTAGATTGTGGTAAGGCCCTGACTTATGGTTTTAAAATAGTTCGGTACAGAAATTTACTGTAAATTTTGAAATGTTTGCGGTGGTTTTATTTTCACATTTTTGTGACCCAGTCAACCAGGAATCAACATGAATTCTTGACTCTGAAAATGTTCCTTCCTTGGTTTACAACTAACTGTACTAGTTAGGGAATTGTTTCAACCGCTCAAGTTTAAAAAATGGCCTTTCCCTCCTAGTCCTACCAAAAATTAAACCCACTGTCATTTATACTGTAGTTGATTTACACACAGCGAAAGGAAATGTACAATGTATGTAGTATTTACAGTTCTATAATATACTAGTGTATGCAAAGTTGCGGAGTATTTCAATTTTGTGGTGCCATGTACTAGTACATGTATGTTACTAGTAGTTGTTTAAAATGTTCTGCACTGTAAAATGCTTCTAACCCCTAGCCTGGTTACCAAACCTATTATAGCTCCCGAGTCCTACATCCTCTCCTCAAATAGGATGTAGGACTCGGGAGCTATAATAGGTTTGGTAACCAGGCTATCTAACCCCTCCCCCCTCCATTGGTTTTAAGATTGTTCATTCACCATAACCAAATCACTAATTTAAAAAAATCAAATCTTGGCTAGAACTTTAGAAGTAGAAGCCTTGTGTACGTGTAGCTACATACAAAATGTAGTCTATATGAAATACATGACATTGTATAAAACTTAAATGCAGTTAGATATATAATAGGCAGATAGTAGGTAACAATTGTCGCCTCCTCTGGCCTTATATTTTGTTCACCTGTCACTGAATCCCTTTCACTCTGTGTGCAAACAGTCGGGCACTTCTGACCGCCAACAAAAGCCGGCCTTCCCCCCATACTGTGGGCCTTACAGCTTAGGTCCTGACTTGCCTTCAGAACGTATTGTTCCTTTTTAACTCGGGGAGAATAGTCACCTAGGAGGCAGCGGTAAATATGTGAATAAATGGCAGAAAGATCGACTTCTTGCACAAGAGACACGCTTTAAGATGCTTGGTTAACTTGTGTGGTACAGGAAAACTATGTACAGGTTTGTCTTAAGTTTTGCATGTTTGGGACTCTTTGAGTTACTAGTAATCTAATTAGTCAGCATGTATGGTCTACAAGTAAGTATAAAGTGCTACAATATGATATTCTTATCTCCAAGCAGATGTAACAAAGATCCTGACTCCAGGTTCAAAACATGGGCCACTGTAGTTTGTAGGATAAAAATCAGACAAACTATTAACTAAGTTTAGTCATGTATGTGTCACATTGGGTCCCTTTTCTTTTATTAAACCAACCTGGATAAACAAAATGAAAAATGATTAAAATTTAGCCCTAAATGTATTTCTTCCTAAATGTTATATACATGTAAGACATAGAATAATAAATTCAAATCTTTTTGGACATCAAACTGTAGTATTTGTTAGTATTTGGTACTTTAAACTCTTTTCAACTGCCCTACTAGTATTTAATAGTTTGTTTTGGACAATGCTTCAAATATGCATCTGCATGGGCTCTAATCAAGGGCTCTAATACTACATGACAAGGTATGAAGTAGTAGGACTGGTCATCTCAGCAGGGCTCCATAATTAGCATAATTAATTTCAACTCCTATAATTAACCACCCATAATCCTTTCTTGCTCCAAATTCCCAACATAAGATGTAATGCACATTCTCTAGTTGTGACTGTGTGACTCTAGAAGGCTTACTATGGACATAAAGAGTTTGAAAGTAAGTGTTATATTTGCTTTACCTGTTTGTGTCACCCTATAGAATGTTGCCTGAGTCAAAACCAATTTAAGTAGCTGGTTCTCGGGTTTAAAAAGAATGACAACAAAGTCCGAAGGGAAAGTCTGCCCCCCCCCCCCAAAGAAAAAATTTGTACACGCAATTTCGGGGTGAATTTTGAGTCGTTTTTTTTACCTCCCAGCCCTCAGTTTTAATTTCATAATATGGTATTGCTGCCTTTTTGCTACGGTGAATTGTGAAATTTTCACAAATATCAAAACAATTGTCTGTTCTACAGTAGTCATACTTGTAAAGGAATTATATGTAATATTAGATAGCCTCGGTACCATCACAATTTTTAATGAGATTACTAGTAATTAAATTATATTGATCCTGATGGTATACCCAGGCTAAATATTAGTACACTTACATTAAAATATGAATTTGCAGTAAAAAATCCACTGCAAAATAAAAGTTACCCATTGATACATTTTTTTAAAATTAAATTTTACAGTCACTCTGTATGCTGCTTAAAATTGTTTGTGGACCAATATAATGATTTGTTGTGGCCCATTCATCAGCTGTATGCCTTATTTAAATACCCTTCCAGTGGCCGGTGTGACATTCCACACAAACATGTAGCTACAGGCAGACGGCAGGCGAGCTAGGGCGGCGTCAGGAACACAGCATGGCTGCCACGACTGGCTCCAACGTGCAGCAGAAAATAGCAGAAGTTCTGGAGGTAAAGTATTCACATTTATATATATGTTGTTTCCTAAACTGTTTTGCTTAACTGGTTTTAAGGTAGAACATATCAGTTTTGTACAGTAAAGACTTAAGTTTGAACCACTTGCGCTGGGAAGGACCCCTACTCTTTTCAATTGATGTGATGGGATCTTTAATATGTGCTTGAGGTGTGTCTCTCCTCGGACATGGGACTTCTGGCTTTATGTCTCATTCAAGAGCACATCCCTAACCAAAACTACATGTCACTCATTTTCATACGCTCACTCTCATAAATTTTATTACATTTTGTTCTCTAATGGTTCTTGCGGTGCAGGCCAGGTTGGGTTTGCAATGTGACATGCATACTCTCACCTCTCGAATAAAAGTACCCCCTGGAATAAAAGTACCCCCCGGACAAATCTTCAAAATGTAATAAAAGTACCCCCTGGAATAAAAGTACCCCCCGGAAAATTTTTAATTGACATGTGAAAGCAATGTTTATGCTACTAAAATGTGTTCTCATGGTGTACATGTATGTTTCCCTTGCAAACACAGGTCCCAAATAAACATACCCCCGGAAAAAAAGTACCCCCGAGAAATCTTCAAAACCTAATAAATATCCCCCCCCCCCAGAATAAACATACCCCTGGAAAATTACCAAATTATCAGCCTGCATTCTTACAGGTTAATAAGAGGTACATGCCTTTGTATATGTCGTGCAGTCTAATGACATTATCCATCTACATTCTAACTTGAGATCTGACTCTGAGTTCACACAATTTGTTGTTGATCATTACATTGCATGCATGCATTGAGCAGGAACAATGCTATCAAGTTT